TCGATGGAGTTAAACGAAGATCCCGTTGATGAAGGTGGTTTATATGATTGTGAAGATTTGTTCTCAGACACAGGCCTACGATTACAAGTCAAAACCGCTTCGGGTTTCAGTCAACGGAATTCTTTTAAAATCCGCAATAAAAATGGTAATATCCTACACGTAAAAAAAATCTACTTTTATATGGATGCTGCAATCGGAAGCTGAAAAAGTTTCACCGGATAGGTTACACAGATTTCATGATTCAACCACAAGTGATTCATTTCAGCTAACGTTCAAAAACACAATCTTAAGCGAAATTACAATTGGTGAGTGGATTCTAATAGCAACTACCAGTGGATTCCTGGTGTACAAAATTTATAATTTCGCGTATTTGAGTGGAAAAGAACATCTGCTCCCGTTCATATACCAAATGGAGTTGAAGCAAGAGGAATTGGCGTTAAAGGAACATTTTTTTAACTAATTCCTTTCGATGAAGACTACATCGTTGAATTATTGGGAGATAGTGATACTATCTGTATAGCCATCGAAAATTACAAAACGCATCTTCAAAAACCTTCGCTAAATGCAGGTTTGATGCTGTTCGACGAGAATAGGTAGAGTACATAAAATCATACGTAAACTAATCTGCTGTGAACTCTGTGATAAATAAAGAAAAAGATAAGGAGGGAGAGAGAGAACAAAAATCCTATGTAGTTTCATTGTCATGATCAATAATTATTCATTTTTATATGGTGACATGGTGTAGCGAATGTTGGGGTAAATCAACTCCCTGGCAACTTGACAACTTCAGTATATTTCCAGTGTACCCCGACAATTTGGTGCTGGTGGTTCTGTCAAACTCACAAATTTCAGAAGTGTTATCTGAATAGGGCGAATTTGGAAATGATGTACAGTAAATAAAAATAAAATTTAAAATTCATCTTATTTTCGCGCGTCCACTGGTTTGGACACGTGACGTCCGATGTAAAAATTAACATTAGCAACATACGAACTACAGTGATGCCAGCGAGAAATGTCGTTATGATTCTCAGTAGTACATAATCAATACAATACGTAATCAGTATATGAAACATTTTTTGTTTAATTTGGTGTAGCGTTTGTATTTGAGCAGTTCATAACGAAAAGCTTACACACACGGTTTCAATTCGTTTGAATTTATTTCATTTCACCACGAAAATCATAAATTCGCTCTTTTCATATATAGCATTCTTGCTTGCTGTTTGACATCCACACATCGTGAAACAAAAAGTTAGTTTCCCATAGAGAAATACCATTGCGGCGGTGAAGGATAATCCCTTTGTTTACGTCATGTGGCGACATCTACTATTTGCAAGTGGGTACGTGAAACTAAGGTTATCCTTCATCTTGCCAGGGACTTGGGGTAAATAGGACAGCACCCCAGCGCAGAGACTCTCAAAGGCAGCCCCTAACCAAAACGAATCACTTATGGTATGTAGGGCTTCACGCGTCAAGCCGGATGAATCTGGGAAATGATAAAAGCAACATTGAAAAAATTTACGATCTCCCAACCAAGCCCAGCCCACGTACTTACTTAATACCTGACGATGATCCGCTGTATCAATTTAATATCCCGCTGCAGCGGGTCGTGCTTCATACGATAGATTTAATTTTTATCTTTTTACCTCTATTCATATCCAATTATCCAGACAAGCGTCACAGTCTGACTGCTTTGTCTGGCTCTATATATCCGGCCTGGCTTAAAAATCCTTCCGTCGTAGGTGCCCTGGTACTTGCCTAAACGAAAAGAGAAGTCTGTGCCTCTAGTTGTCCAAATCCACCGAATCCAGCCGGTTTCACCACTTTAAGGAAGTTTGCCTTATTAACATAGATGAGTGGATGTATTTAATGGTGGATAAATATCAAAAGCTGATTAAATAAAACATAAATGACCATTTTAAACATTTTACCGGTCCAATTAAAAAAGTCACAGAAGATTGAATTCAACACTAACAGGGTTTATAGCAGCAGTGCACGTAGCCTGTTATACACTTTCCCGCTCAGGGGTGTAAATAAACTTGCATACAGCGCAGTCTGGCAGTGCTTATGTTTTGTCTGTTACATTCTTATCCACTAGATAGTGTGACATCACATTTGCTGTTGTATTGTAATGAAGGAAGAAAAGAGATGGTTAAGTTTTCCTCACCATACCAGTTGATATTTATGAAAAATAGGCAGTTTTGGCGTGGGGACACGCCCTTAATAGCTAAATAATACTTTGCTGCCAAACAGCTGTTGTTTTGCTTTCCGAAAACTCCTGAATTGGTCGACAAAAAAATCGAACAAATCTGACACTTAAGTTTTTAGAGATGTAAACCGATATTATTCGATATCAAGGAGATGTCAACGTACATAAAACGGATTTATCGATATTATCGGATATTTTAGATTTAATTCAGTTCTTCTAATTGAATGAGATAATTCTCAATAAAGTTTTAGGATGTGAATGCTATTTATTAAGGTTAAATTTTTAGATAGCTTTAGATTATCTGGAAGAGTCGTTCCCCTCGGATGACGGTGGAAATTTTCACCATGAAGCATAGGAAATGGAAAATATTTTCACCTTTCCTGATTAATTTATCCACCGCAGGTGCTTGAAATCATCATTCACGTGGAATATTTTGTTTTCTGTATTGGGTTTGCAGTTTTTACGGCTGGTGCTTCCATATATTTTTGATGAGAAAAATTATGATACATAAAATTGTCCCAGCGGTTATGATGTTCCGGATTTTTAATGTGTGATTATTTCAGTTGTAAATTAGTTCAGATTTGTAGATAATCGAAAAATAAGAATATCCCGATGGAAATTTGCAAGTTGTGCAATAAAATGTACGTTATTTTTTTTTGAAAATCGTCATTATGATGTAAACAATTGGATTGGATGACATTTTCCCTCAAAATAGGCTAGCGCACTCTACATTAATGGTGCTTGAAAAGCACCTATAGACAGAGATGCATAAAAATAAGAAAGGAATGTCTAGATGTCGTTTATGTGGATATTCACATTCTTATCTTTAAATTCTTTCAACTCGCGGAGCGGAATAAATAAACTAAACACAGCAGAGTTTCTTCGAGTACTACTTTACATAAAAGCAGGTGTTTGGTTTATTCAGACGGTTTATATAGGTAGCTTTTCGTGTAGTTTACAATCTATCTTTGTTGCACACTTTCGTTCGTCTCACTGGGAGGTTCGGACTATTTCGCCGAATAGGATAGAACTCCTACAATTCTCTTCCCTTTAGTTAATGCTTAACATTAAAATTCAAAACTAAAATTCAACTCGGGAATGTTACTTCAAAAATAAACAAAATCATTATTCTTATTGATAATTCTGCTTCTTTTCGAACGCCTGGTTATAGAAGGCGTTGGCGGCATCTTACGCTTGCTTGGTCTTGCTTTCGGATCCAAAACTTCATGTTGCTGATAAGGGCGATCATCTTCAAACAACCTCTGCGTAGAAATCGACGGCGAAGATCGGACGGGCGCATCAAAGATGTTAGAATCCGATGCAAATCCGTAAAAATCTTCACCACTGGGTTGAGTTGTTAACTGTTGGTTTGCTGCGGTTTGATCTTCAGGTGGTTTTGGAGAGTCTCGATCTATCAAAATCATAGAAGCTGTCTGACGTAGAGAGTCTTCAGCCAAACGTAATTGTTGTCGGTGGGCTGAAAACAAGCAACCGCCGAGTGAAACCTTTTTTTTCCTTACGGAATACCGCTACTTCCGACCAAAATCTGGCTCGGATCGGGGAACAGCACCACGGTTCCACTCAAATGGTCACAGCAACCAACAACAGCAACCTAGCAGCAACCAGTTTCACAGCAGCAACTAGCAACACCTCAACAGACCTCTGTAAATCGTCCGTTGTGCTTCTGTAAACGGCCGAATTCCTCCGTCAATTTTTCTTCTTGCCGTTCAGCAGCCAGCAGCACCGAAAATCGGTACAAAACTTCCAAATTCCGGTTCCAGATTCCTTGCGGATCAATCTTTCACAATATTACACTGCATAAGCAAATAAACAGCCGGTAAAACAACACCACCGGACCTGTTTGGCACAAAAAAGACAAAAGCCTAAATTAGCACTCTCTTAAAATCACTTTTTTTTTTTCTTCATGAAAAACACTCCGCTTTGTTCCGACAAAATCTGCCGAACAAAAGATGGCCTTTTCAGCAGCAGCTCAAAAATGGTTTCACAAAGCGGCACAAACAAAACGCGTAGCTCGCTTTTCAGATTTCTTACCGCTTGGCTCTCAACTCCACGGATTTCGCGTTCCACCAAAATCCGGCGGGATCAGCTGCCACTTCACTTTTCACTGTTAAAAAAAAACGCCACTTTAAATTCGTACGCCACTTTAAATTCTTTCAACTCGCGGAGCGGAATAAATAAACTAAACACAGCAGAGTTTCTTCGAGTACTAATTTACATAAAAGCAGCTGTTTGTTTTATTCAGACGGTTTATATAGCTACCTGTGTAGTTTACAATCTATCTTTGTTGCACACTTTCGTTCGTCTCACTGGGGGGTTCGGACTATTTCGCCGAGTAGGATAGAACTCCTACAGTATCCACATAAACGACTTCTAGACATTACTTTCTGAGGATAAAATGGATGTGGGATGAGGATGTGTCGATCCCCCTGGTTGGAGGTATGAGAATAGGATAACGTCACAACTAAAAATCAGTTATCCGTCTGAAAATTGTGTCAAATTATCTTTGAAATTTCATAGTTAAACAACTTCAAACCCACCCCCATCAGCAATCAATGACTGTAGTTGTTTGTAAGCGTGAATTGACCTTTCTGACGTGTGTAACACGCACACTTGCGTAATCCCATTTTCAAGTGCAAAGTTTGTGATCCTCACTTTCGTTTCAGTTTGTTTGTTATTGTTGGTTTGTTATTGTTATCCTCACTTTCGGACCATCAATACTCGTGCGCATAGAATGGACCATAGTTGAATATTTTATCATATAGTCTAGACTTACATTATCTTTCCGAGGTGAGTTCATCCGGCTTGAGTCCGAATGGGAAGTAGGAACATCGTCACCGCTGTCTCGTGACGAGCTTAAGAGTCCATGAAGAGTGTTCTCCGAGTTTCGTCGCGACAAAAAGTTGAACCTATGAGACGAGGGATGGGAATAAAGAATCGACTATGTAGTTTCATGTTACGGAATAAGCCCCGAGCGCGTGGGTACCTACAATTTGGAAGTCTTGGATTTGTTGAAACTAGCTGTATGTTTCAGGTGGGAGCCGTTTTGATTCAGTTGAGTCATGCAGTAGACTTTCTCGCGCCTCGCCAAACGCTCCAGGTCCGATAGAGTCTTTTCTTCTGTGAATTTTGAATAAAATGATGGATGTACTCACATGGCGAATCAGATCAACCTACCTCGATCCACAGACCCAAAACTGTTCCAGGTAGCTGGATCTTGAGCTTTTCGCCGATTGGGCGTAGGTGTATCCATCTTTGAATTGTTTTGCTGATATGATGAGCTCGTTCCGTTTTTCAGCGGCTGGCTGCTGCTGGTGCCCGGAGAGTTGGAATGGCTGGAACTGGGTTGTGGCGCTTGATTGCTGTTGAGATTGTGCTTGGCCGCTGCCGCCGGAATACTGTTGTAGCTGTTCACCCGGGTGATGATCCGATTCATGATGATATCCTTCCCGCTCATCCGGTGGTATGTGGAGAGGTCTTGCCCGAGAATCGAAGTCAGATCCGGCGTCGCGCTGTAGCTTATCAGATCTTCGTCGCCGAGAATATCGTGATTCAGCGCCAAACGCATTTCCAGCTTTGGACTGAGCCCGTATAGGGGTGGTGGTGGGGCGGTAGACGGCGGAGGAGGCAACGTGAGGATCGGCGCAGCACCGGAGCTCGCCCCGAAACGACCGATAGCGCTTGCAGAGCGCATCCCGATGTTCGGGAGCTGCACAGATGCAGAGCATCTGTCAGCAGCATTCCCATAGCTTTCTTCGGGTGTGGTCGTCTTCACCGTCTCCCTCGTTTCCAGCTGAGGAGTCGACAACGGCGTTGTACTTACTGAGTCGGATTCGGTGGAATCTTTTAAGTCCACATAATCCAGACGATTTCTTTCCACAGCTTGCCCCTGCCAATTTATCGGAAAGTAAATTACCCGCTAATTATAAATTATCTACGGAATCAACGAACGGTTACATGGGTAGCAACGGCTAGGTCAGATCTGTTTGTGTTTTTTGGCTTTCTTGCATCAGAATCGTAAAACAACGAACGCGCGAATACACATACACACATCTAAAGGTTACTGTTGGAAACAATTACTGCTGTTGGTCATCGTTCACATACATCAAGAGTGGAATTTGTAAAGAAGAAACTCAAAGCTATTTTGTAAAGATAATAATGAACTATGAACAGAAAAAAAGATTATCACAAATGTTAAAATATGTACACACAGGAAATTTTTTATTATTACCAGTTGAAGCCAATCAAATATATAGCATTTTTTTTAAAATTTTGTTTCATACAAATCTGAAGGAAAATCGGAGTGGAGCTCGAAAATTCCAATTTAAAGACGTGGAAATTGACGAAAAGAATTGAAATGTGAATGAGAGAAAACTTCCTGACACAGGTAGGTACTGCAGCGGATGATTGTTACTCACGTCATTTGATCGTGTTTGGGTGCGTTAGTGTCTACGGATTCAAAAATGAGAGGTGAAAAGCAGAGATAATGGGTGGTCAATATTACTGCTACGAAAGCAAATTTTCAATGGATTGTTTCTTTTTTTTCGTTTTGCATAATTTTGAACAGAATTCAGGAACCAAACGGTTAATGCTTAATGCGAGTTAAGCCATGCTAATGAAGTTAGTGCTTAGGCAGGAACATCTCATACATATCACGATGGGAATTGAACTTTTTTCGAAGACTGTGATCTTGTATTTCAAAGTCTGATATCCTGATATATTTTTTGTTCTTAATCTTAGAATCATGCAAATGCTTTTTTATGTCCAAGAGCTTGAAATGTTTAGAATGGTGTTAGGGTGAAAGTTCGTGGAATCCAGTCAGTTCACCTTTTCACTGACACTGATCTTGCCATCCAGAAGTCATACAGATCTGAACATTAAATGAGATGCTTGCTTGTTTGTAGCAGACCTATAGATTCATTTTGAACTTTGTGCATTAAGTAGATCGTCAGAGGTGTGCCCGTGAAAATGCAAAGTGGCAAAACAAAGTGTACGGAAATGGATTCCGTCAATAGTGCCCTTCAAGAAATGTTTCATTTCCGGAATCGTAATTTTTATTCATTAACCTTCAACTCGAATAGTTCCCCTAATCCGAGGTCTCAACAATTACTCGAAGTTCCAGAAAAAAATCTATTGACAGCGTCGTAGTGAGGGTTTGATTTACCCTAGGAAAACCATGAAAATGACGTCTTCCCTTTCCAATTAATTAAATCAAGTGTCAGGTTACAAAATAGAGACAGTCGTGGATTCTTGATATTGAGCATTTATAGCTCAAAACGGCTCGACTCTTTCCGATTTGAATGGAACATTGCACATGTGTAGCTCCCTAAGATTACGTTAAAATATGACTACTTTTAGAGCATACGTTTTTAACAAGGGCGTATGAAGATAATACATTTTGTTTTAAAATCGCTACTTGAAAATGGTTAATTAGATGAAAAAAAACGACGATTCAAAAGAAGTTGTAGTGGCTTAGACGAACTCTAATAAAAATACACTGAGAGAAAAAGTCATTTTAAATCCATTAAAAAAAAAGTTGATTTTATTTTTTTCTTTTTGTGTGTGAAGAAAACTGAAGTTATGTCCTAAAGTTTGATGTGGTAGAGAATGAAACATGGAAAATGCTTAAATAAATTTTTTAGATTTTTTTGTTCCTAGCATGTTTAGCTATTAAATTAGCTTTAAGCACTTTTTCCCAGGTCGTTATCAAGCTATTGCGAATTTCAAACAGCAGAACATATTTTTTACATTATTGTAGACAAGGTCATATTGTTGAAAGTAACCAATACAAATACATTCGATTGAATTAAATTTCACTTTTTTCATGTTTGAATATTATATCATAAGTGTCAGTCTCAGGGCATCGAAATCAAAATAAGTTTCTCGTAGTGTATGGTTAATATGTGTCTATCGTACTGGTCAGTTGTGTGTATATGACAAACACAAGCAGGTTTATTTCAAATTCTACTAGTGTCTGAAACAATATTTACTTATTCTTCATACATAAATGTCATCAACTAACAATTACAAGGATGATAGGTACCATTGCACTGGTTTACTTACTTGCTATAATTCTTTGCCAATTCAATTCAGTTTCCGAGCTTTCCAAGGTCAACAAGCAAATCATATGTTAAACATGGATAAAAAGTTCAACAACTGTTGTAAGCCCCTACCTAAATCAAAAAGTGTAGTTCAGATGTTACAAGGCTAACAGATGGTGTAATTGAAAATCTTCATTCCTTTGGTTGTATACAATCATTGGACAGTTACATGAAAATTTGCAGTAGAGGCCGTCTTCAAGTTTATTGTTCGCAATCAACCCCCAAACCATCGAATGATTAAATGGAGCCAGATATGGAATAGCCTTCTATCAGCGGTGTGCAATCAACCAGACATTGTGGATATCATCCCGTGGGTTACGTCTCTGGCTTCGTCGACTTCTGTCGAGTATGCTGTAAATAGAATCAGTTTGTCCCACAATATTAAGACATTCAACAATGGCATAATTGGAATTCATGCATCATCTATTACCGCGAAGAAAATGAGAAGGAAATCATGGATGTGTGGCGTATCCGACACAGACTATCAAATCAGTTACGTAACTGGCACTTCATCATACACTATCCATTCGTCTCACGTCTCTTTTCGTTTAATTCTGAGCTAAACTTGGCATAAACAGTGAAATCGTTTACAAACTTGTATACAATATTGCTAATTTATGCGATATTGCGCTTAAATTTACACGAAATATCGCGTAAAATTATGCCAAATCTAGCGTTAATTTTATGTGCACTATATCTCGCAAAAATTTACATGAATTTTTCGAACGGTGTTGGGTAAAATGCCCACTTATAGAAAAACAGCGATAACGGCGCCGGTGGTGTAGTGATAAGCGTGATTACCTCTCACCCCAGCAGGCCTGGGTTCAATCCCAGTTGGCGCCGCCGGGATGTTCTTGAGGCATAACATCTCTGATCACGCCTTCCTTCGGATGGGAAGTAAAGCCGTTGGTCCCCGGTTCATGAGTTGATGGGTCGATAGGTAGGGTCCAGGTGTGGGAGCTGCCTTCCTGGCACGTCGGTAGCATTGGTGCTCAGCACGGAAAACAAGATCGACGGAAAAAACAAACCAAAGAAAAAAAAAAGAAAAGAAAAACAGCGATAACTTTCCCTCAGATGCATTTTCCGGCTAACGGGTTGTATTTGTTTTTAACTGGAGGTTTCACAAATAATTCTTGATCATAAAATCATATATTGACCTACTGGTTCCCTTAAAAAATAGTATTTTGTGCAAAATATGACACACACAGATAAAAATTCTGAATTTTATTTGTGATGTAAACATTCATTCACGTAAACTTGTATTTCATCTCACGCAACCGAGCAACTTGCAAACAATGTTGTTTACAAAGATGGGCTTTTGTATACAATATTTGCTACATTGCATGAAATGTGTTAGAACTTAAGATGATATATAATGTAAACGTATATGATATGTGACGCTCCATTTATGTGCATTATATTGAACAGAAATGTACACTACTTTTTCGAATTGTGCAGTTGTTAAAATCGTCGACTGAAAATTAAGCTTTTAACAGAATATATCGCAAAAATTGAGCGAATTCGCTTTTCGGATATTTTTTAGATGTTTTACTTAATGAATCACAGTTTAACACTCTAATGAGACCTTATTTCTGATGTAACATAAAGGAATAATCATCAGGTGTCAGATCATCATAAATCAGGCGTTTTGCCTCGCTATCATTTTGGAACCAATTTATAAAAAACCTTGAAAATCATGAAAATTCATCGTTTTGTAGTTCGAAATCAATTGATCTTCGTAGAAAACATGGTAATGCACCATACACCATTACTTTCTTCTTGATTTTAGTTTCCATACGCCAGCAATTGACGATTTTGCTTAAACGGTGCGTTTTGCACCATCCTACCCTAAATATAATTTCAGTATGGTAGACAACCAAACGCGATAGTTTACTATCTGTCCGAAAGAACCCCACTTAAACCGTCGGCCTACGTTCTTACAGATGGATTAAAGCGGCACTCCTACTCCTACTACTGGAGTGAAATCCATAAAGATATTGACCTCAGCTTTAGTACGACCAAAATAATATTTTCGGCAACCCAAATTGAAACACTATTTTCACTGGATTTTCTTACGAAAACACTTCGCTGAATGCATGCAAACAATTCTTTATGCTTTCAGCTTCAATTTGATTATATTTTTACCACTGAGAAAAAGCAATCTAGCAGGGTTTTCTTGAAATGAAACACACGCACTACAAATTGTAGCTGATTTCGAGTTGCCGATAATAGAACAGCAGATTTACATGCAGTTCAAATGGAACGCTTGCCGAAGAAAAACTGGTTGCCGACAATACTCGCTCTCAGTAGAGAAGATTGGAGCTTTGTAAAAGCGTTTCAAAACAGTTTTCGACAATTCTTTCGACTGAAATTGTTAGAGCAGCTGGCAGCAAAAGATTGTAAACAAACCAATACTGCATATGTGTGCGTTCCTTAGAGAAAAAGGCTATAGAAAGAAGGTCGCTGCTTAGGTTGCCGAGAATACGTAAATTCCCCTAGTGAATATTGTAAAATTTAACTGAAATTTACATTTTTTGTACTATTTTCCATACACACGAGAAATCCTTCATTTTTAACGCCGTCTATCTTTTAAGTCGAATAATTTGCAAGTTTTGAATAAGAGTTCCCAATATTTTGGGTCGATACAAGCGAAATATTAGCCAAAATAGTGAAAATTACCATGATTTTCATAATCCGGTTTCTCAAAAAGTAGCAAGTATTAGCAAAAAGTTGTTTAGCTTCTGAAATGTACCATTTATCATCAATCAAAGGTGAAAGTTTACCGAAC